AGAGAAGGAGAAGGAGGAGGAGTAAGAGAAGGAGAAGGAGTAGGAGAAAGGGGTAGGGTGCTATAGGGAGGGGACAAGGAGACGGAGGAAGAGGAGGAAGAGGAAAAGAAGCTGGAAGGAAGAGGGGAAGGGAGCGTGGAGTTCCAAAGGGAAGAGGGCAAAGAGGAAGAGGAGAGAGAAACGGAAGGAAGGGGAAGGAGGAAGTAGACGGGGGTGGAGAAGAGGCCTTCGGAGGGGAATTTCCTTGTGGGAAGAACTTCTCGCCTTCGTTTCCCTTCTTTGCGCTCTCGCTTTCTCGCTCTGGAAAACTGACATATGGGGAGAGATAAGGAGGATACGTGTGTGCGTGTGTATATAAACAAGTCTGTGTGCGCGTCGTGTGTGTATGTGTGTGCGTGTGCGTGTGCGTGTGGTGTGCGTGTGCATGTGTGTGTGTGTGTGTGTGTGTGTGTGTGTGTGTGTGTGTGTTGTGTGTGTGTGTGTGTGTGTGAATTATATATTATGTATATAGATAGATAGATAGATAGACTGATATGATATAGATATAGATAAATATAGTTTTAGATAGATAGATAGATATGAGAATGTGTGTATATGTATTATATATATATATATATATATATATATATATATATATATATATATATATATATATATATATATATATATATATATATATATATATATATATATATATATATATATATATATATATATATATAATATATATATATATATATATATTATATATTGAGTGTGCGTGTGTGTGTGTGTGTGTGTGTGTGTGTGTGTGTGTGTGTGTGTGTGTGTGTGTGTGTGTGTGTGTGTGTGTGTGTGTGTGTGTGTGTGTGTTCATATATTTATGTATGTATGATTGTGCGTGAATGTACGTATGTATGTATATATGTGTTTGTGCGTGCTCAGCTGATCGGTGTCTTCGCCGACGAACCGGGGGCGGGCGGGCGGTACTGTAACCGGATGCCCGACCAGCAGCCAAATTATAAGTGGGTCATGGACCATCGCGTCTGTTCTCTTTCCGCGCACAAGGTTAAGTGCCACGGGGTGCCATTAAGACCGTTTAGGTCTATAATAAATGGTGATGTCGGTGCTGTATGCCACATGCTGCTTTAGTATGTTGTGGGATGACTTTCCTCGTATGAATTCAGCTTCCTATTCAAGAAACATAAACACGCTTATGTGGTTATCTAATTATACTGCGCTTGTAAAATAATTGCTAATAGATAAGTAGACAGGCAGACTAATAGGCGTTTATCTCTCTGTCTGTATGCCTGTATCTGCCCATAAGATAGACAGGCAGGCAGATAGACGGGTAGACAGACAGATAGATAGATAGACCGACAAGGTTGACAGGAAGATGGAAAAGCAAATACACAGGTAGACAGGCGGATAGGGTAGATATATCGGCATAGCAAAAGAAAAGAAGGTAAATAGACGGGCAGACGGATGAACAGACATGCAGACAGATAGACCGATAGATAGATAAACAGGCAATTAGATAAAAAAGATAGGAAGAGAGATAAGCAGACATGTAGACAGATAGAAAGAAAGAAAAATTAGTAAATAGACAGGCAGATAAATAGGCAGACATGGAGACAGACAGATAGACAGGCAAATTAATGAAAAAAAAAAAAACAGACATGTAGACAGATGGATAAACAGGCAAATAGAGAAATAGACTGGCAGATAGACAAACAAACAAGCGGACAGGAAAATGAATGAATAGCTATGAACACACAACGAACGAAACAAGAAAAGACCATTAACCAGTTTCAAAATATTTTCGCGCGTTTAACCTGAAAACACGAAGAAGGCATACAGAAAACGGGCAAAAAATGACCTATTTTTAAGGAATGATATTGGTTCTGCTGGCTGTAGTTCCTGGAACCGCGTTCATTTGCTGGGTTCTTGGAGTAAGATTTTTCGTTTTATTTTACTCTATTTATGTGTCTTAGATAATGATTTTTATTTCGTTTTTATAGATAATGGTTTTTATTTCGTGTTATAGATAATGGTTTTTATTTCGTCTTAGAGATAAGAATTTTTATTTCGTCTTATAGATAATGATTTTTTATATGTAGCATCTGGAACTGTGAACCATTTTTCTTTTTTCTTTTTTCAACTCATGGGTCTATGGTGTTTTTTCCTCTCCTACCTTCTTTTCTTTCACTTTTCTTTCATTCACAACATACTACATAATTAGAGATTTTCTTTATCTTTTTCTTTATTTCTTTCTTTCTCTCCTTCTTCTGACACTTTAGGAATCAGGAGAGGAGAAAACAATTTCCTTTTCCCTTTTTTAACTTATATTTCTGTACGCCTTCTCATTCTCCTTAATTCAATGCTATTTTTGTGCCCTTCTCTCTCTACTTAAGTCATTTAGTTGCCATTTTCCCCACGGAACTGAACGCTTAATTGAAATTCATCAATAGCTTCGGCCTTTTATCACTTTTTTTTCTTTTTTGATGTCTCATTATTGTCT